TGTGAAATACCCTGTTTCATCACCCTTATTAAAATGTTTTTGTCTCTGGTAATCTGTGTAGAAGTAGAGTACATCCAGGAAAGTATAAAGGAAGGTGTACATGGTGTCTATACCTGATTATGGAAACTGTGAAAGAAAACACTACTAAACTTAGACCCTTCCAAACAAATGGGAATTTCTTTCCTATGATATGCTAGGGTAGTTTCCTTGGAAGAGATGAACTCCTCAGGGACACAGGAAGATTCAAATATCATTGGGGGTTTCCAGAGGATATAATTTTACAAGGGCATTTATAGAGCAGATGGAAGCGAGCTAAATAAAGTACAAACAGGTACAGAATGAGAAGTTTTCTATTTAATTTGCCGTAAACAGTAGAAGCTGTACATGGGTCTACACGAAAAACATCCCTTCTGTCATAACAAATTGCATTTGCCATTTGGAAACACATCCCATAATTGTAAACCTCATCTGTTTTAAAACTTGAGAGATTCATTTTTCATAATGGCATCATAATGTTCCTCAAAGAAATAATTTCTAAGAGCTGATTGCAAAAAGCAAATTAACACCACACTTCATTAATTTGGAGGTATACTTAGCTCTTTGTTGTGATTGTAGGTAAACAGAAATAGGAAACTATTATTAAGTGCCTCAAAACCTGAATGAGAAACACCATTAATGAATCAAAAGAATAGCAAACCATTTAAAATTCTAATGCTAATAGCCCTGTTTGTAAAATGCTTACCTGGAATGGCTACTCAAAGTAAGCTTATGAGTATACTATAAAGTAAACAACATTTTAATTAGGTTAATTACTAAGAGTCCCTGGGTGAATTAAATAGTTTTGGCAAAAAATGCTATTTCTTACATAAAAGCAGCATGCTGAATGCCTGTGATGTCTGCATGGAAATTTCTATTTAATAAGGCAAATGAATTTTATAGCAATATATTGACTCATTAGTCTCCACCAGAAAAATTCCATGAGACTTATGAGCCCATGTAAAAATAGAAATATTTGAATTATTACTTGAGAAGTAATAAGTTCAAGCAGTTAGAAATCTATCACAGAGTAACTAATAGGAGGGAATAAACAAAAACTACAATAGCATATGGACCAATAACATAGACATTCATTGTGATTCTGAAATGAAATGAGTGTGACACCATCCATCCCATTCACAATGTCTAATCCTGTTCAGGTCACGTAGATGACATTTGTTCCTGGGGTCTCTCATTTGCACTGTCAAAGGTCTGCTTTGGTTGATGAAAGTTGAAATTGGCCCAAATGCTCCAATGACTAAATGGGAAAATTTATGTGGCTTCAGTATAGATAACAAGCACATAACAACTATGGATTTAATTTGTTCTCCAACTCTGATCTTATCAGGAATAAAACTTGTATTTAATTAAAAGTCATCATAATTCCTCTATTTTTCAATTGCTTGAGAACTTGATGTCGATGGTAAATATCATTTCAATGGATTCAAAACCATTACATGATTTGTTTAAAGGATTCATTACATCGAAATACAAGAACGTGTAAATACTAGCAAATAGGCATAAAACAGATAATGAAATTATATTTTTCATTTTTAATTTAAATTAGAAACAAGATTGTTTTACATTTCAATCCCAGTTCCCTCTCCCTCCTCCTCCCCTGTCCCCCACTAATATACTACCTATCCCATACCATTTCTGATCCCCAGGGAGGGAAAGGCCTTCCATGGGGGATCTTCAGAGTCTGTCATATCCTTTGAAATAGGGCCTGAGCTCTCCCCTGTGTGTCTAGGCTGAAGGAGTTTCCCTCTATGTGAAATGGGCTCCTAAAGTCCATTCCTATGCTATGGATGAGCCAGTGGTCTCTTGTTGCCCCAGAGGAGCTATGGTTCTTTGAAAAAGAGACTGACAGTAGAGGCAGTCTAAAGCGGATCTGACTCACAATATCCACTTAATATTGCCTCATCTACTACAAGAGGCACCTTAGATTTCCCAGGCCTCCTCACTGACACCCACATTCAGGGGGTCTGGATCAGTTCCATGTTGGTTTCCCAGTGATCAGTCTGGGGATCAAGAGCACCCCCTTATTCAGGTTAGCTGTTTCTGTGGGTTTCAGCAGCCTGGTCTTTACCCCTTGTGCTCATCACTCCTCTGCAACTGGATTCCAGTTCAGTTCAGTGTTTACTTGTGGGTATCTGCTTCTACTTTCTTCAGCTGCTGGATGAAGGCTCTAGGATGGCATATAAGTTAGTCATCAATCTCATTATCAGGGGAGGGCATTTAAGGTAGCCTCTCCACTGTTGCTTAGATGGCTACTTGGTGTCATCCTTGTAGATCTCTGGACATTTCTATAGTGCCTGATTTCTCTTTAAACATATAATGTCTCCCTCTCCTATGGTATGTCATATTTTGCTCTCCTCTATTTTTCTCCCTACACAACCTTCCTACTACCTTATGTCCTCCTCAGAAAATTTTATCAAAAGAGAAATGATACAAGTATAACAGAGTGAATTCTCCCATAGCATCACAAAAAATAAATTAGTAGCTGTTTGTAAGAACTGTAGAAGTATCACCCAAAAGATAACTAACATGTGAGCACTCGATATGTACCAGCAAAACAGCTCTATTCAGCCATGGGCATTTTCCATATATGTCCATCTGTGTAACTGCCAGTGGTCTCTTGTTGCCCCAGAGGAGCTATGACAGTAGAGGCAGTCTAAAGCGGATCTGACTCACAATATCCACTTAATATTGCCTCATCTTCTATTTGAATACTGCATGAAGATGCATGCAGGCATGCATGTATGCATGTGTTTTTATGTATGTATATATACATATGTATGTATTTGTCATTTCTTAACATACTTCGCATACATATTTCTTATGTATATGGCATTTCTTAGACATATTAAAAATTTCTCAATGGTGTTTTAGAACTTCTAACAGTGTCTCATAAGTAGTAGATTTCCAAGTCAAATTTTATTTTCAAACTCATTCTTTTTCAATGATCAGTTACAGCATGAATGCTTTGGGGGGCATTTATGTATATTTTTATGTATATTTTTACCTTGCTGAAATCTTTGCTATGGACTAATGATGGAATTCCATGAAACAATCCAGATGTTGGAATTTCAACATTGTTTTCCAATTGCTTTGTAAACACATTACTACAACATAGTACACATTGATTTTTACACTGCCGGGAGCAATTGATTGCTTGCCAGTGCTTCTGAGATCTCAAGGGTTATCTTAAGACTCAGGTAATTTTCATTATGCAAAAATGCATTCTCATTCGCCCTGTTCCTCATGTTTGCTGAAAGCAGCACCTGCTAATAGAGCCTTGTTCATCCCTCTAAGAGAATGCATGCTTCCTTGAATGCATTCTCTGTATTCTCTGGAGGTGAACATGGGGCTTAGTGGCTATTGATTAATACATTTAGGTCACTGTCACTATTTAATGTCCTACTCCTGACCATTTGAAATCAAAGTAATTTCCTTACTTGTATTTGTTCATGTTATCATGTTACTATCTCATAAATACCACAGCTTCAGTATGGTCAAAAATAGAGATAAGAAATAAAAGTATCTAATAGCACTGACCTTTTAGGAAAAGAAGCAGAGGACTGTGTACAGGAGAAAAACTATTATTTTGCCTCATTTAAAAAAAAAACATTGATCTTCTGTTAATATCTGGGTATGTTACCAATTGAAACAAGAACACAGGATTGGAAGAATGTCCCTACACAGTCCTTGCACTCATAAAGTCACTGCACCTCAGTTTGCACAAATCTGCCTCAGTTTGCACCAATCAACATATCATTGTGGATGTGGCATGAATCCATAAGGCCCCACCTATCACAGGGATTATTAGCAATCAATGGTTATTGGGAGAGGGGCAACAATTTTCTCAGTGGTGTAACCACAAATAAGCTACTCTTTTCCACTAAATAACGTCTCACCCAAGCAACTTGTATTAAACTCAGTGGACCACACATAAGGAGAACCCATGAAAACAGGGAGGAGAGGGATTGATAAGCAGGTCTCCAGAGAGATGGAAGGGGAGTGAAGGGGAAGATGTGGAGTGAAAAATCTGAATAGCCATTATATAAATGTATGAAACTGTAAAAGAGTGAAATTTATTTTTTTTAACTCATGGGCTGGTAGTTTGATCCTCAATATGGTCATCTTCAGAGATGGTGGAACTTGAGAAGTGGAGTGTATGGCCACTGGGCAGGCTGTTGTCCTCAGAATTATAGCAGTTCTCACCGAACCCCAGTTAGATCCTGAAAGAATGGGAAGCTATAAAAAGATTGAGATGGCTCCAAGTCTTCTGGTCTTCTGTCTTCTGTGTGATGTCTTCTTTGTTTTCTCTTGTCATTATAGTTCTGCACTCTAGTGCAGTTCTAAGGACTGCACTAGAAAGCCCCTGAAAATAATGGGGTTACCCAATCTGGGCTTTCAGCTTCTAAATCTATGAGGCAAATAAATCTCTGCTCCAGGTTCTTATGTATATTTTCTCAAAGCAACATAAAAATAGACTATAAAGTTTGTCACAGAATTGTTCTTAGAAAACCACAGATTTCTCAGGTGTTATTTCTCCAAGCTTCTAGCAAATTGACTTTTGCCTGAATAGCAACTGTCAGCATTAGGCTGATAATTGGTATCTTTTGATATTTACTCCATATTTTCTTGTGTCCTTTGAATGGTTTCCACACAAATTCGGCTTTGATCATTATCTTTAAACTTCTCTTATTCAAGTAAAAGGGCAGTTTTCTTCACTTCTTCTTTCTCTTGTGCAGAAAATAGTAGTTAATTTTCATTGTCAACTTGATGGGATTCCAATCACCATGGAAACACGTGTTTCTGCTTATGAGGGTGTTTGCAGGGAGTTCTTACTGAGCAGGAAAAGTACACCCTGAATGTGGGAAGCACCATCCCAGTAGGCTGGGGTCTCAGACTAATAAAAAATGAAGGGGTTATATGAAATGCTAGAGTGTACCACTTACTTGCCATCTCAAATCTTTCTAATCAGATTGTTGACTCAAGAATGGTTACAGAAAGTTTGCATCACTCTATGTGATATGAGGCTCACAGAATCCCCTCCATCCTTTCTCTAAGTGAGCATCCTTCACAATGGGTATTTAAGGCCTTTATAACAATAGCAATATCTTCTCAGCGCTCATGATTTCCTCATGCTACCTGAACCAAGAGTAGAAAGCCAATGTTAAGTTTCATGTGACACATAAGGGAAAAATCTATACTCTTAAATTTTTATTTGGTCTGTTGTAGCTAATGGTGGTGATTTTAAAGAGGTAGTTCTTTAGAAAGGGACAGGCATGGAATGTGGATCTTTGCTCCTAGTTTATTTAATCCTTGGGCATAGTCAAGATAAAGTTTCTTACACAAGTCACAAGAATTGATGATTCCCCAAAGAGTATGAATACAGGCATTTCTGTGAGAAGATACTTTGAGAAGTTTAAAACACAACTGCTCTCCAGTTTCCTTAAGTTACTGGTTTCCTGGGACTCAGCAGCCAATTTTAGCTTTCAATATGTCTTTTTTTCTTAGGTTATAAGTGAGTCCACCACTTCTAGGCATATAGCTGCTAGTATCCTAAAGATTTGATAGGAATCCATAAGAAAGGAGATGGGGGAAAGGAAGGAGTGGCAGAAGAGGGAGGAGAGGAAGGAGAAGAAGGAGAAAGAGGAGTGCTAATTAGTGTAGGGTGGTGCCACATAATGACAGAAGCCAGTTCAAGGAGATCCATAAGACCAAGAAATAATCTGCAAACAAAAGACAACCAATGTACTTAACTAACATCACTTTCAGAAGTCATAGCCAGTTATTTTGTGTTGTATTAATATATCATGCATACTGACTCCACATAAATTTCCCTCAGCAACATTTATTCCAGCCTGTTAAAGTGACCTACTTCTGGGCAGGGGTGGGTAGATTAGTTGGTAAGAAAAAACAAAATGGTGTTGGAAAAGAAGTTTTTTTTTTTTTTGCGTAGAGCTTAATTACCTGTAAAAATAAATACAACAGTCCATAACCTAGTAATGCAAATATGGTCTTTTGACATTCCATTATTCTAACTCAGATATTTGAGACACAGAAATAATTTCAACATTTAACATAAAATTATTGAGTCCAAAAAGAATGAGTCAAACTATTTAACTAAGCAGTTTGTTCAGCTAAAGGAAAAAGCAACAATATTTCAAACTCGAATCATTTGGTAAGTTATGTGTAAAGGAATTTAATGGTTTAAGATCATCCACTTCAACTCAAATGTCACAGCTCCCATCATACACTAAAGTGCATTTAGTGTATCTGTCACTGGCATTGGTTTTATATTAATTCTGATATATCTTTCGGCTTTCCTTGTTTGATGGTACTTGGCACCAAATCCAGTTCCTTGTAAATATTAGATAAATGCTCTGCCACTGAGATTAACATCAACAACATCTTCTAATACATTTTCCAAGTTAAAAATTGTCAGTGGTTTCCTGAAGAGTCTTTTCTCCCCTGAAGACTTTTCTTATCCCTAATACACAACGCTGTTATTCATTAAACTGAAACACTAGGATGTGTCAAAAGGAGAACTACTCTGAGTAAAGTTTTGTGTGCAATGTATTTCTATGCTATTATGATAGTAGACAATGATAGGAAAAGCTTGATGGTAACACTTTATGACAAGTTTTCTCTCAGCATTTTACCTATGCTATATGTATTGTTACTCACCATGTTGGAGAGCACAATCTTTGTCAGGGCTCCATTTTAGCAAATCAAAGAAACTATTTCTAGCTAAAAATCTCAACAAAATATATTGTTCTATCTTTCATGCAACATCATCACAGTAATTATTTTAAGAGCAGCAAGGAAAATTCAGCTCTCAGCATGATGTCACAGTGTAGATTAAATTCACTGGGTCAATGATGTCTAACAATAACTCATCTTATAGATTTTTCAGAATACATCAAAATCAGAGCTTCTAAAACATATGTCACATATAATAAGAAACTAATTCTAGATCATAATCTTAATCTTGAGAATTACATTTAGTATATCTTTAACATTGCATGGATAAATTCTAGTCTTGTGTTTAATCATTTCTGCTGTTTCTAATTTGGTGTGGGGATATATTCCTTTTACGCTCAAACTAAGATCATTAAGTCTCTCTCTCTCTCTCTCTCTCTCTCTCTCTCTCTCTCTCTCTCTCTCTCTCTCTCTCACACACACACACACACACACACACACACACACACACACAGTAAAATAACTTTTAGACTTGATTAAATTTTGAGTTCTTTTGAGGAAATTATTGTGGCAAGAATGTCAGGGATGGGACCCAAAGCCATGCTTAGTTTTGGAGGCTAGATTTGAAACTTTGTGTTTTCATTGTTCTCTGTGTTTCTTACTCTTGGGACACAAAGTCAAAGAGGAGTGCTTACCCAAGTTACTACAACAAACACAGTGGGCAATGGGCAGAAGAGAGGACTGGGTGCATTTACATTTCATTAGATGGCTAACTAAACCAAAAAAAAGGCAAAAATATAGATCTTTTTATATCTAAATTTCTATTTTTCTACTGACCTATGGCATGATCAGCTTTTTAATTTTCTTTGCAATTGCTACATTTCTTTCTTTAACTCTGGAAAACACAAATGTCTATACACATGAAGACAGCCAACTGTCGTGCTCATTGCAGGCTACAGAAGCCTGAAAATATGTATATTAAAAATTAGTAAGTTGTCTCTAACATTGGATAGGCTTGATCTACTTTTAGCATGTTAGCACTTCCCATTCCTTTGGCTTAGAGACACCTTGATCTTTCTTATTATCAAGACTGTTAATAACAGCCAACCTTTCCTGAGTATGTCAGACAATGCTAGAAAAGCTTTACAGACATTAGTTTCAAGTAATCTTTACCAGACACCATTAGGAAGGTCACTATTAGTACTCTTGCTTCATCAGTGGGGAAACTAATGTCAAGAAAGTCAGTTGCTCATCCCCTAACCACAACCTTGAATGTAAATGACAACACTGACTCAATAGTTCTAGATCATTAATCAGGAGTATTAAAGAGACTATCACTAGATTTAATAGGATATTTTATATATATACATATATATATAGTTTTTTTTCTATATCATCCTCAAGCCTAAAGTAGAGTCTATTTTGAAAAGCTCTTACTTTTAAAGAACAACTACAGCAAAGGATAACTATTTATCCGAAATTGTGATATCTTTCCCCAGTGTTGAATAAGTGTTGTGGAACAAGCCACAGATATAATGAGTTTATCCTCTGCCTTTACAAAAAAATATAGTGTTGAAGTTGTAGTGTTTAATAATTAAGTAACTAGCCAGCCACATGAAAAAGGGGAAAATATCATTCATAATGTGCAAAGAAAATGATCATATTTTGGATAAAGTGATAGGAAATGTGCATCTACTCCAGGTGGACCAATGACCAATTAATAATTGAATGTAAAAGGATCCAATATGCTTTTATTGTTGGCTGGCTGGCTGGTTGGCTAAGGAGCAGAACCTGTTGAGTTGCAATCATCTATATTGGGATGTACATGTAATTGGCTGCACAGAGTGAGTCTCTAGTCCTAAAAAAGATAAATAGGGAAAGTGCTTTCTCATCTACATAGAAAAGGCCATTCTTCAATGTTCTGGAGAAAGCATTATCTGATTGCTTCTTGGGGCTGTCATCTTTCTAATTTTCTGTATTAATTTGACATTCACCTATTGTTTGATTGAGGTGTAAGTTTATTCTTTCAGGACAACCTAAAATAAAGACCCTGAAACTTCAGATCAGATCTTGAGAGATTTGTTCAATGAAGAACATTTTAAAAAGAATTACTCTGGGTTTTGGTAACATCAAGAGAGGCCAAAGTACATTTACAAGAATGAGCAGATTCTATTGTCCTACATGAGGCACAGTGCAAGAAATTGTTCTTATAGGAGAAATAGAGGGTTTCAAGGGTATCTGTGTTAAAGGAGTGTTGGCTTCTGTGTCCAGAAAGGGGTGGGGGGAGAGAAAATACCAACACTGGAAATTGGGTCACTCTCAAGAAGAAAGGGATCTGACCAAGCTGTTTTTGCAAGGCTGAAGGCACCAGTGTGTTTGGGGAATTGTTGATATGGCTGTACACTAGGCACTAAATACAGAGGCACACATGAAACAGGTTCTGTAGATAGAAGGCCTGTGTTTCCTGAGAGCTATTCCCACTATAGCTGAATAATACTTTTTCTTATTGACTTAATCATTAAAATATAAGAAAAAGTTAAGGAAGTTATTCAGTAGCATCCTAGCTTTTGGGTAATTAGGGGATGTGTCTAACTGTACATCCAATGAACTGACTTGCACAGTCCCAAGAAATTTGGATGCTTGCAGAGTGGAACAGGGATACTCTGTCCTTCCTCCTGCTTAGTTCTCATTAGTGGCATGATGAGGGCTAGAACTGAGGGGGGCACTGAAGGCAGACCCACATTCTGAGGCTCCTCCTGAGAACATGAGTAACAGCTCTGTCTTTGAGATGTTCTCCAGAGGCCACATGAGGCAACGAGGTAGTCAAAGGCTATCATTGCTGGATAATTTTTAATGCATATGTTATTAAATCCTGGATTCACAAGTCATTGGTTGTCTTAACCATTACAAAAATAACTATGAAATCAGAATATAATTCTTATGTTATTCTGTAACAACTGGCTTGACTTTTCTGAAATAAAATTTTAAACATGTAAGATAGATATTAAAACAATACTTTTTCTTCTTTGAGCAAATGAAAACATTTAGGAGTTCTATGAAAACCAGAAGTTCTAGAGGAAAACAATCATAATATTTTACAAGATTGATAATACACTGAAAGCATCAGGGAGCCATATAATATCCAGTAGATAAACCTGAACACAGTTTTCAAGGGAAATATTTTGTTGTCTTGTCTCTACTTTTAAAGAATATCTTTAAAATAATCAAATATTGCCTCAGAAAACTACATTATTCCCTTTTTAGATGTCCAAACTTAGGGGCAAAGCATTGATGTTTAAATTGTTTTTCCAAGACTCCTATCCACTAATCCAATCTGTTTTATAAAAATATTGACATTTTAATATCTAGTAACTCCATACACAAAAAAAATATACAGAACAAATCCTTAAATATTGATTTGTAGCAGTAGCAGGAGACACAAAGAGAGAGGAGGGGGAAGAAAAACAGAGGGGTAAGGATGAGGGAGTGGGAGGGGAGGAAGAGGCAGAGGGAGAGGGAGACATATAACATGGTATATGTTTCTGTCAGCCAGTGTTAGAAAAGTCAAGGCCATCTGTTAGGGAATTGATGAATAAAATTTATCCATGCTATTTATAAAAGGGAAATATGGATCTTAGATGATTGACAAATCATTCTTATCCTTGACTGGGCATGTTTACTCAGTGTAAAGCCACAGTATGATCTGTATAGATGTATTTCACATTTTAATGTGTGTGTGTGTGTGTGTGTGTGTGTGTGTGTGTGTGTGTCCACAATGGTCAGAAGAGGACCTCAGAGTTCTTGGAACTGGAGTTGCAGGCACTTGTAAGCTGTCTGAGATAGATGCTGGGAACCAAATGCAGGTCCTCTGCAAGAGCAGTTCATGTTCTTAATTGCTAAGCCATCTCTCTAGCCACAAGAATGGTATGTATTTGGAAATTCAGAGATAATATAGTTATTAAAATCAAAGGGAAAAATCCCATATGTAAAGAACTATACATACAAGAACAAGCACTTAATGGCACCATAAATGCTTTAAAATGTGTTATATGAACCACATCACACATTAGAAAATTAGAAACATTGGTGGATGTAGAATTACTTGAAACTCGGGGTAATTGATGATGCTTTCACTTCATCCTTCTCTCCCAGGCACTCATAATAAAGATTTGTCTATTATTGCATTTTTATAAGTATGCCCTATATCATAAATCTACGGGACAATTAACAAGTTCAAATCTCTATTTCTGGAGTGAATCTTTTGGTAGGTTTTGGACTTCAAATAACAATAACCTTTCTCTGTCCATATTTACACAAAATGCATACCCACATATGAAATACATATATGCAAACACAACCAAGCTTATCTTGGTGGCTCTCAGGGGTTCTCTCACAGTGCTGTCCTTATATCCTGCACTGTTTCACAAAGGGAATCTCTTGTCATAACAGTCTTACTGAATGAACTGACCCTGACCCTGAGTGTGCAGGAAGTCTCACAATCTGTGAAGATTGGAATTGGAATTAGAATTAAAAGGCATTTGTGATAATACTGCATATGATACCTCCATCACTATTCAGATATTGGTACTATTTAATTAATGACAGATTCTTCAGTCAATTCATGCAAGGACAAATTTCTCTTTCAGAGGAAAGGGAATTGTGACAAACTTTGCACCCAACTGTTCTTCATGGTGCAACAGAAGGCAACAGTGACTCTCTATTCCTGTTCCTGACAAATATACCCACAGCTAGTATTCTGAAATAGAAGCTTCTAGATACTTCCCCTTTCTAGTTAAGGTTGTTATTACATCTCGGAATAAAATACTCTCTCTCTCTAATTTTAACATCACTGTTAACTTCTACTTGCTTCACCTAGGAAATAACCAGAGTAATTTCTTTTCTAGCTGCCTGGACTATGACTTGGAGTGTCCTAAAAAAAGATAGTTAAAGCCCCCCTTTCCCACCAAGTCAACAAAATTCATTTGAGAGATCTAAAATATTCATGGCTAAGGAATGGTTCTCAGTTCTATTCAATAAACATGATCAAGAGTACTTTATGGTAATATCATCTGATTGTGACATCAATGAATCTTGTGCTTGTGTAAAGAAAAAACACACACATGACTTAACTAGGAAATCAATTGGACTGAAATTAACAAGATCTCAATCTGTAATGTAACCACCATCAGTGGATGTTGACACAAAATCAGTTCATTGATTTTTATCAGTTTTCGAGTGTAATTCCTGTTAGAGTCAGTATTGGATATTGCTTAACTAATGAGAAGAAATAACCAGCCCCTTCAGGGAAAAAAGCACACCTCCCAGTTTCCAGAGAGTTCATTTGCTGTTACTCAATGACAAACCATGCTCTGCTCTGTTCTCCTACGTTCAAATCACTTTTCTAATCTCCTTATTCACATTTTTCTTTGTTCTTTATTTCAGTTTGTAGAAAAATGAGGTAAGTGGGGTTGCTTCAATGATTTCTTTTATTTAAGCCATTGATTGAAGGTGAAATCCCCATATCATAAATGTGCTCAGGTCTAAAAATATTTGTCACTATAAATGATGTTTGTTCAAGATGACAATTATTAAGCATGTTTTAACTACTTAGAAAATTCCTTATCACCAACACACTACTATGAACAATAATTTTACAAGAGAAAAATAAACTAATATATATGATTTTAGGAGAATCTAACAAATGTCACTTTTCTTTTGTCCTACTATCCATAGTAATTAAAATGAAGTAGGATACCAGTGAGACTTCTCATGTTATTGGATGTGCTATCTCCTGACAGCATAGATAATTTCCTGGAGTCACTGGCTTGGGTATGTATAACATGGCCTGTGAACTCTATTCCCTTGTTAAGATCTTCATATTTGAAAACTGAAATTTTATTAAATCTAACACACAATATTTCACAAAAGTATAAAAGCAGAGTATAGGGCTAATCGATTAACAAAATATTCTTAGTGAATAACAACCAGTGGATGGACTGGTCCTGGGAACACTCATTTCTCTAAGTGAGCTTTTCTGAGAAATGGCTGTTTGTCAGAGCATCTTGCCTCTTTAAGCAAAAGATTTTCATCATGTTTTGTCCTTGTTTTTCAAAGCTGGTTTCTTAGCAACAGATTCAAGGACTCCTTCAGTAAAAACAGCCAGTTTTAGATTTGGGTTGGTAGTAAAATTTCATATTTTCAGTTAGAAATGCCATGAACTCAAGTAGTTTTGGATATCTTTAAGAACAGATAAATCAAATTTCCAGGTGCAATGGGTATTAGCAGGCTGATAAAAAGAAGTTCAAACCACTTGTCTGAGGTACAGGTTATTTTATGAGTTTCTAGGTATTTAATAATTTCATGTCAAATATTCAAGCCTTTGATATTCAAACATCATTAATCACGGCTTTTATTGCAGTTATAAGTGTCACAGTTGGTCCTAGCCCACAAGAAAAGTAATTTGGTTTCCTGATTTATTCATGGAAATCTCTTTGTTATTCAATGGGATAAATTATTTGTGCCCTGAGTTGTTCTGTTTAGACACTATATTATTGCCTCATAAAACAATGTGATGGAACAGTTGCTGCCAAAAATCAGTAAAAAAGGCAACCAGTTGGTTTCATTTGCACACAATTAGAAAGTGAAATTCCATTATAAGTTAATTACAGAGATTAATTCTTATTTAGAATCTGTCACAGAGGTCAAACAAATAAATTTTGTTATTAGGTTTCACCTGGACAGATACTAATGAATTTTAAAGAATTCATTATTAGTTTTTTCCCCCAACAACTTTGAAATGCCTCAAGAGTATCCATGTTTTGCCAATATAAAACCCTGTTTTCTGGTCTTCCTGAGGTTCAGAGTTCTCCATGAAATAAGGACAAGCGCCAAGAGGTACAGCATATAAAGTTCTGTTTGAGATTCGTGGGTCTGCGATGTGTAGCCATGCAATATAAGAAATGTCAGTTATTTCTCTCTATGAGGAGCAGACATTTCTTTAACAGAAAAACATAGAATAATTGGGGGAAACGATGTGCAGCTGTGGCTCCTCTGACCTGGGATTTCACATGGTCCTCACTAGCTTGCATTTTATGAGACACAGGCTGAGCTGGAAAGGATTGGCTTAACCAGAAGTAAGCCAGTGAGAAAATACTTTTAAATCCTGGTAGAAAAGACCTGAGAAGTAGATTGTTCCTTTCTAGAAATTCGTTCATGTTCACAAAAGCCAAATACTCATAAATAGAATACATGGCCTGGTAAGCAAGTAATTACATCCCCAAATTGTTTTATTTTCTTATCTTCCCAGAGTCTAGAGATATGGGATGTCACATGGCAAAATCAAAGCAGTGGATAGTCTAATGTATATCCATTAGTGTTCACGATCCTGGATCACCTCAGTTCAGATGCATAGGAGTCTTGAATTGGAGGAGGACAAATGTCAGTGTCAGAAAGATATAATGTGAAAAAGACTAGAATGTGTTTGGCTGCCTTTGATGATGGAAGGGAATCATGGGCTAAGGAATTCACACAGGCTTCAGAGGCCAGAAAATTTTGAAAAATATCATATTCCCTAGAGAAAGGGGCATGATGCTGGTATTTGATTTAAGTTCAGTGAGACCTTGAGACTATAGGAAAACAAATCTGAATTGCTATAAGCCAATGACCTTGCCGTTATACCTGTTACAGTGGCCAGTAGAAAACAATATCATGATGAATAGGAAATCTAAGCCCATTTCATAGTGAGAAATCATACAGAAACTCCTCCATTTGGATTTTTGAAAGATTGGTTGTAAGATATTCTGCTATCAAGCTCAAAGTGACAATATAAAAACTACCACTACTGTCAGTCAGGTGGCAAGAGAGGTAACCTGCTTTCTTCTTGGACAGAACTCTGCTTTTACCAATGAAACTTTGTAGAATGAAAACAAGGTTCTCTTCTATGTTGTGAGTTCCCATTTTCTACAACAGGCATTTGTCTCATTCTGAGGACACTGTGATCAGAAATCTGGAAGGCAAGTAAGGGTCTGAGGGCCTCAAAGACTCAGTTTCTCAGCCTTGCAGAGCTCACAGAAGGTCATTCTGAACATTTGACTTAACCATTTTCCCTAGGGGTTCATCATAGTATTCAGACCCACCCACGGGAATTGGAAAGCCTTCTGGGTGCTGGTCTAAGCCATCCTTATCTGTCATTATTTTGTTTTTTGCTTTTCTTGAAAACCAGAAAACAAAAACAGAAACATTGCTAGTACCCCTTATTCCCCAGCTCTTAACCATACTAGACTTATTTGCTTGCTTTTAAGAGTGTGACTTTTTTGATCTTCCTAATTGTTCTACCTTTTCTGGCTCCTGTCCTTCACAAACATAACTTTTATCAGGCAAATTATTCTCAGTATTTATATTTATAACTGCACTCAGTCATTTGTTCTATAGATTTAGTAACTATTCTTTTGCCAAGAATTACTCTGGCTACTTGAGCTACAATAATGAAGCAAAAAAAGAAAATACTTTAATGGAAGCTATAGATTCTAGAATATAAAAAGGAAGGGAAACCCAAATAAGCACCCCGGGCATCTATGGGAAAATTTAAGAATTCAAGAGATGGTTCCAATATAAGTGAAACTAAACAGTAGAAAGCAGAATGACTTAAAAGAGGTTATGTTACTCAGAATGGCAGGAAAATCATTTATGAAGAATCAGAAATCAGTTTAGTTTTCATTTATACACCTCACTCCTCACATTGGGTCCATAAGATTTGACAGAATATACAAGCTGTCATTTCAAGTGAAACATACTTACTTAATTAAACCATTAATACACTCTACTCACACTAATATGCACTAGCCTTCAACTATCAAGGTAGTAGTTCAAACTATCTTAGTTTTACAAATACATGTATTTGTAATGTTCTCATACTCATATATTTTAATTAAATAGTACCTTTATTAAGCCATTTTAGAGAGAATTAGCTCTACCTCAGGTCCTACTTCTAAGAAGAAAAATAAATAACCTTGAGGTATGCATAGATAGGCAAAAATAATGTAATTCTTTTTTGTTTGTTTGTTTTGTTTTTCCAGACAGGTTTTCTCTGTGTAGCTTTGTAGACCAGGCTGACCTCAAACTCACAAAGATATGCCTGCCTCTGCCTCCCAGGTGCTGGGATTAAAAGTGTGCACCACCAATGCCTGGCTCATTAATATAATCTTTTTAATGTTGGAAAATAGCCAAGCCCTGTCATTTATACTCAATAACACCGATACAGGCACAGAAATGCTAAAGCCCACCCACATAAGAGAAAATTCTGCCATCTTTGATGTTTTTTTGTGTTTGTTTTTTATAGATCAGCATGTATGAACCATATGACCATTTTATATAGACGCTCCCTCTATAGACAAAGCATGTGGACATCAGGAACAGGCATTATACAAATAACAGAAGAAAAAAATCACAATAAATGAAACAGCTATCTCTTCTTGGGCATTTCAAATAGAATTTTGTTTAAAGCAAATCTTGACTTTTGGAATAAAGATACTATTACAAACTCAAAACAGCATGCATGACATTTATATGTGTGTACATAAAACAATCTTCATGATAGAATGACAGATTCACAAATTTTCTTTGACATTCTAAGTTTATTGTTAATACGAACACTTTCAAAAATAGCTCAGTAAACTATGAAATGCCAGAGAAGTGTGACTGCAGTATTTGCTTATTCCAGCTTGTGTTCTTCACACAGTGTTAACCTAAATGTGAGATGGGTCCAAGTCATATACCGTTATGTTATTGAGGGCTTTATAAATGAATAGAATTCATAAAAAGCACAACACTTTACATATGCTTTTGCATGTTTTATGGAATAAATATTAGCCATAACAGGTTTTCAATATACTTACTTAAAAATGAAAAATGTCTTACCATTTACCATTAAACCATTTTGAAGAAAAATGAAAAATTTTCAGGCATGCTATAAAATTTGATAATATGCCTTGAAAATAAATCACAGAACTAGAGCCGCATCATTTAGAAATAGAATAAAGTCTACAACACATTTAGCCTCTCTATGATCTTTATTTTATAAATTACTTTATAAAATATAGAAGCTGGGGCTGCAGATTTTTCATAGTTTTAATTTCATTCAAGATGCCAGTGATCCAGTGTGTTACTTAGTGTCTTACTTCCTGGCCCTTAACTTCAAATGTGGGTCTTTCCCTATGTGGACAAACCCTCCTGTAACTTCTAGAAAACTTATATTAGTTATTATAAATAGTCAGCACAATTCCTCCTGAAACTGAAAAAAAATAGACATTTAAAATTCTATTTAATGACCATAACTCAGACTTTCAGGATCACCAATGATTAACTAAAATTCCATTAATTTTACTAAAAACCTAACAGTGCTGTGTAATATTTTGAATTTCAAAAAAAGATATTAATACAACATAAATAGTGTTCTCTGGATGGAGTTCTCTACATACTACAGAATAGGAATGCCAGTTGAGTTTCTTTGTGAAAAGAACGTTTTTAACCATATTATTATGTATTAATACTTTGAGAATTCTACTTGTGGGTACAATGTATTTTGATTATAATAACTCCCACAGTCCCACCCCAAACTCCTCCCATATCCACCCCACACCCTCATTTCACCACCTCAATTTTATGTTCTATGTTCTTATAGAGGAAGTCAGTTTTCCTTAGAGGTATGGCCGACCATGTTCTTGTGAGTGTCCCTACACCAAAATTGTACTTGGTGGAGAAGGGAAATTCTCTTGCTGTTTATAATTATCTTGTGTTCATTGTACCTTTGCTCTTGAAAGGAATAGCATCTCTCAGTTGTGGTTAGAAGTAACATGGAGTGATCATAAATCACTGCTTTTTGGCAGTGTCTAGTACAATAATGGAGAGCTATCAAGAGGAGGTCAAGAGCCATGTCAAACAGCTGTTGACCACTTAGACAGTAGATTTTAGTCAAAGGAGACTTGTATTCTAGGAGCTCCAGAATTGCCAAAAAACCAGTTTAAATGCAGAATCTGAACCTGCTGCAATCCTACTGAATTTATTGCAGTCAATGGGTAATCCAAATAACTTCTACTCACATCAAACTTTACATTCTTGAAGATAGTGACAACACCATGTTTTTATTTTCAGATCTTCAGTGTCTATTTTTTTGAAATATGGTTTATTTTTCCAAACTGTACTGCTGAATGAAAAAAAAAAAAAACTCTGTCCCAATAAGGAAATGACGGGGGAGTGGTGACAGCAGAGAAACACAGAAAACTAAAAATGTAAATTCCACAATTTTTATAGGAAATTTAAGATGTCACCCTGTCTGACCAATCCAGTCTTCCTTTGGTTACATGCCCACATAGCTGTCAATAGATAAACACCTTATGAGTGTCCCCAAAATACAAAACACTGAGAATATTGTGGGTTGAAATGATGTATGCTTCCATTTGTTCTTCAAGCATTTTTAGCATTATTATACCTGTTTCAAAGAGCAAATAATAGGTTTGTTCAGAGATTAAGTGACGCAAGGAAGTTTTGTGGCAAATAATGATGCCAAAATTAGAAGCCAATTATTTTAACATTCACTCATTTCCTCAAGTTCTGCCTCTCTAAGCTGCTTATTCACCTGATGTGTGCATATATACCAGTTCACTTGCTTTTCCATAGCTAGGAAAAATTTCAAAACTAGAATATAATGTGCAATATTGAATTTGTACTATGGTATATGTTTACAGATGAGAATATATTTATATTTTATTGGAAAATATAGCTCACTGAGTTGTTGTCAGTCTGGTTATATTAACATTCATGATTACCTTGTTTTAGTTAAAACATAACTAAGGGTTAAGCATGTTCTTAAAAAATTAGGAGAAGCTTCATAGTTTTATAAAATAATGCAAAGTGCTCCATACTTTCAACTTACGATCTTGCACTATAAACCCAAATGTTAAAGTAACAGCAACAAAATGCTACACTCTGCTGGAGTAAAGCAGCAGAAATAGTTTGCCATCCCTAAATGCCTTAAGTCATGAAGTCAGCAGAGCATATACCCTCAGAAACCTGCATGTGTCCTTCCTTTCCTTCTAGCTTCTGCTTGGTCTGCCATCCTTAGCATTTCTTGACTTGTATATAGCTGCACATCTCCAATCTACCTTCACCCTGATCCACTCTCTCTGTGTATAGTATCTCATTCCTTGGCATTCTAATTATATATGAGTAGACACATTAGATTAGGAACCTATCCTATGTCAGTATGACCTGACCCCAACTAATTATATCCATGATGACTCAATTTATTTTAAAGGCCTCACTGTTAGGTACTGGGTTGGGGAGTCTTAGAAAGTATGATGACTAGTTTTCATTGTCAACTTGACACAATCTAGTAAAACCTAAGGAGAGCGTCTCAGCAAGGGATTGCCTAGGTAAGGTTGGCCTACATACATGAGATGAGGAATTGTGCTCTTATAGCAATTGATGCAGGAAGACCTGTGCACTGAAGGCTACACCATTCCCTGGGATAAAGTCTAGGACTGCATAATAAATGAGAAAATGAGTTAAGTACAATCATAATTATATTTTACAATTGCATTGCAATGGCTATATGATAGAGTGTGCCTTAAATGTCTTTATAAAATGCCATTTATCCTTCAAAATATATTTATTTCAAAGCTAGTACTTAGCCTCAGCATATTTCTTAATACTATAATATGAAACCTGCTATCACTATTTCTACTCTTGCTAGGTAACATGAATTTCTTAAGCCTTCTGAAATATGGTTGTGATCTAAAAACTATTTTTAATGACACAAAGTGGTCAGCCATGAAACCATATGCACACAAACAAAAATGATCTCAACAGGTTGCATTTGCAACAATACACATACAACAATAATAATTAAGGCAAAACAAGCTGTCAATTTGAGAGTCAGGGACATGGGAGGGATTGGAGGTAGGGTACTTGGGAAGGGCTGAAGCAGGGAAAGGGAAGAGAGAGAAAGTGATGTAATTCTACTTTAATTTTTTAAAAAATGTAATAAAATATATATATCACAACTTTCCAACATAATATAGTATGGCTTTCTGCTGTGAACATTCACGTTCTAAAACATTTCACTTTAAAACTACATAATATATACATTATTAGAAGAGTAGCTAACAAAAATCTTATTGTACAACTTTATGTGCTACCATTAAATCAAAAGACCCAGCAGGACCCAAAATGAAGTACCAGTGATGGCTGGTACTCCCTGCATCTCTCATTATATGCTTTCTATTGACAGCTGTGCTTTCATCACAACTGAGCTCAAGACATGGCTTCTCCATGAACTCTTAAAGACTAACCAAAGCAAAGAATTTTAAAGATTACAAGCATGCAGTGAGGCAACAGAAGACACACCACATGATTTAATGACATGAACTCTCAGGCCCAATATAAGTAGGATTGATTTTATGCTCATTACAGAAAACATACCTGATGCACAAAAGACAAAAAGTTAAAAATAAACTATTGGCTGTATTCTAGCACTGAGTCTCGCAAGAACAAGTCTTCACCAACTTGAAGTGAGCTGCTAACATTGAATAAAATCAGGAGAAACATTTTCCTAAATTTCTCCGTGTGTTGTAGAGGTAAAACAATGCTCCATCTAAAACCTAAGTGAAAGTGGAAACCAAAATGAATCATGGATGAAAACTTAGTCCTTAGGAAACTACCCAGCACCATTAGAACCTAGCAGGAGAAGAAGACCCACATGCCCAGCATAGCTGCCTGCTGTGGGCCGGGAGGAGAGAACTGAAGTCAGGTGCCATTATGGTAGGGTGTGAGAGAATTGGGGCGGAGTAAGGGTTCATGCCCTGTCTAGAGATGCAGATCTAAAGAGGGGAAGGTGGTGAGGAGGTGGACTGCTTGTCCCCCGGGGCCATGTTGATGTATGGGACTGGGCTATTGCTCAGGGCTATGTCTGGGCCCATGGCCCTGCTGTAGTCACAGTCTGTGTTGATGTCTGTGAATCCTGTTATGACTAAAGGCCCAGAGAGTAAAACTGCAAAGAGATGGCCCCACATCTCACTGGCTGCAGCACTAGGGAGAACTGGCTCTGCCCCTCACCAGCTGCAGCACTCAGGAGAGCAGGCCCTGCACCTTGCCTGGGAAACACAGTAGAGCTGACCCTGTTGACCAAGGTGTAGGTGAGGTGTCCATGACCATGAGCATGGGAGAGCTAGCCCCACTATTCATCTGGCATGCTGTGGCATGGTCAAAGGAAAGATGCTGACTTCCCCTGCTCCTTTCTGTTTGCATCAGGTAGGAGAACTTGTCCTGCCCCTCCCCAGCTGCAGTACCCAGGAGATCTGGCCCTTTACCTCATCTAGCCAGCACAGTAGAGTTGACCCTATTGACAGGGTATGGGTGAGCTGGCTAGAGGGTGAGAGCATGGGAGAGCTGACCCTACTACTCATATGTCATGCAGTAGCATGGACAAGGAAGAGATGCCCTCTTGTCCCTCACCACTTGTGGCTGGTGGGAGAGCTGGCCTCTGGGGCCTGAGAGTTGAAAAGATAGTCCCGCCCCTCACTGTCTGAAACACTCAGGAGGGCTGATCCTGCAACTTGCCTGGGCAGCACAGTAGAACTGATCTTGTTGGCAGGGGTGGGGGTGAGCTAGCCAGGTGGGTGGGAGAGAAGGAGAGCTGACCCTGCCCTGCCTCCCACATCTGCTAGGTGGTAGTGTCAGCAAAGGAAAGATGCCCTCTTTCCACTCATCCATCACCTCCTGCAGCTGGACAGAGAGCTGGCCTTAGCGGCATGAGAGTGGGAGAACTGGCCCAGCTCCAGCACTCAGGAGAGTGTCTCCTGAGTCTCTCCTGGGCAACACACTAGAGCTTCTCTGATGGTGTACATACAGATGAGATGGGCCTAAGGTGTGAGAGCAGGAGAAACAGCCTCACTCCTTGCTGCTTGTGGCAAAGGGTGAACTAGCTGGGCCAGTGCAAGAGAGCTCACCTGGTGGTGAGGATGGGGGAGAGCTGGTGGGCTGACCATCCCAGCGGCCACCCAGGCCCTGAAACAGAACTATGAATTATCCCATCCCAACATCCACTCCATCTGTGATCTGCTGGAGCACATGAATGGGCCAGTAATGCAGATCCAAAGCCTCAGGATCTCCATGGACACAGGGCAACAACAAGACATCCAAAAGGAGTCCCAGTGAGGGCCAAGTTTCAATGATACAGCAAAAACCAGAGACCTTGTACTGGACCAACCAATGACTCATTGCAGAAAACACTTGCAAGTAAAGTGGTATGGACTAAGGAGTATACTGCTTGACTCACTATGTCACACTAAAGCGTCTCAGATTTTTTTTTTTTAATTTTATTTTGGGGAGGATTATTTAGCATAGTTGTTGGACCTTGAAAACTTGAGTTTATATTGGCATAACCTTATGTATAACCTAGAGTAAAATGCAAAACCTGAAATTCTTTCTGATTATCCAAGAGGAGACTTCTACTCTACATACAAGGCCACTTCATACCTCTAAGCATGGCTTTAAGCTGCATTTGCACAGCAGCCTGCAGCTAAGGAGGAGGGATGGTCTAGAGCCATT